CCGGGCAGGCTCCTCTACTCTCATGACGTAGTGTGGCTACGTTTTGCGCATGCCGATGCCGCTGCCGACACGAGCGCACGCCGCATACTGATGATGTTCTAACTTGCGACGTGCTTGAAATACTCGTAAGGACAAGAGCTGCGTTATGTGGATTTATTGCCTCTATTTCGCAGCAACTGTTCAAAGTTTCTGTAGTGCCTAATTGTAACTTATCCAATGTCAAACATGACGAAGATCAGTGTATAGTAGAATATCATCGCAAATAACAAAACTAACTAACAAATGTTCGCGAACGTACTGCCCTAAAAAGTTTTGGATCTCAAATAAAGCTAAAGGCGTTCTTGACCCTTGACTTTACCTTGAAACTTCTGCATGACTATTAATCTTTATTTATAGAGGACATTTTGCAACTTGCCATCAAACAGGCTTTGCTCGAAATAGAAAGACTTTGCCTACTTCAGATATCTCACGAGCTACATTTCCTTTCATTATCCCCTGATTTTAGTATCTATAGACACTGTAAATCCCATTAACTTGAATTAGGAGATTCTTATATCTTCCCTTTAAGGACGGAACGTGCACATACAATTGAAATTCTGTTATGTAAATAAATATTATAACTGTAGGTTACGTCGTTTCATGCTAAATGCGACGTGTTATGTATACTATAATTTATAATACGCCTCTGAAACGAAAGTATCAATATTTATTCAACATCGGACATAGAAATTTATTTAGAATAAATCAATTGACCTTCGATCACTCTTGTTGGAATCAATAAATTATAGCGTATAGCACAAAATATTTAAAAACTATGACATGCAGTATAATAATACAAAGAAAATACAAATTAATAATAAAACAAAACATTATTTATTTTTATTGAATCAACAACAGCGTCCCATTTATACGTCCCAATGCTGGGCACGGGTCTTCTCTCAGGCGAGGGCTTATGCCATAGTCTGCTACGATGGCACAACGCGGGCCTGGGACTTCACACGTTTTCCAAAGGTTGTGAGCCTTCTTCCACGTGCAGCTTTTATTAATTATGGTGTTTTTACTGCTATTCATATATTTTTTGTGAACTTTCTCCATTAGTTTATTATTATTGATTCTTTTATTTATAATTATTAATTGATTAAACACGAACCAGCTTCTGTTGCCACAACGTAGCCACAGTGTAGTCCGGTGTCAGTGTAGTGTAGGATCGAAGGAATTTTTGTTTGTGTTTGTTCGATAATAATAAGGCGCGATCCCATTATGTCGTAACGTTTTATTTATCGTTAGACGACTGTCGCGTCTAGCCTGTTCCCATATCACGACTATCAGTCGTGTCAATTAATCGTGTTGTTCTATGTGTGAACAACTTCATTTAAACTTCCAGTGGTCGCGTCCTTGCTCCGAACATAAGCAGTCGCGTGCGGTCTGTGAGATCGCCAGTTTTTAGCGTTCAATATGATAAGACAAATTAATATTTTCAGGACGTTGTGTAGCACATGCTAAAAAAGTCTTATCTATATAAATGAAAATAAAAAATATTATTTACTTATTATTTTTTTAAATTTGTTCTTAGTTGAACAGTCTATAAAAATTCAAAATTTTTTATCATTCCATGAATTTTTCTGGAACACGACCGGCCATGCGCGGAATCTGAGACCGCAAACACAAATAAAGACACATGTGCGCTTACGACAAATGTCACAGGGCTACTAAGAACCTCACACCCCCTCGATGATATCATGGCCGCGCAACCGTTTATTGTTTACAGTTTTTGTAAAATTACTAAAATAAGGTCGCTGCCGTCTCTGAAACCGCGTGCGACCGCTGGAAGGTTAAATATACAAGACACGACACTTTAAACTGAACGACTATCTGTCGTCACGACATAATGGAAACGCGCACTAATAAAAACATGTCAAACGGGCAGGCCTATAAAGACTCTCCTTCCAGTGTGGAGGGAGAGTCCCCACATAACCCCTGAGTCTCCCTGGGCTCAGGGGTATCCATAAAGATTTCCCCCCCGTCAAAAAAAAAAAAAAAGGCCTATAAAGTACGTTTTGGTGATATTCTGCCGTAGCTCGTAATACACACGCCTGAGAAAAACGATAATTAAACATCACATAAGATACAAATGTTAAGAAATCTACATCCAGGAAAAGCTTTCCCAAAGGCCATTGTGAGCACTTTTCGTCTGAACTTCGATAATGATTGAGATAAGCCCGTGCCCCTCTATCATTAGGAAACAGGTCATTCCATTATTCGGATTAATTGCAATTACGTAACGTAATTGCAATTCTACCAAACAAGTATCTAGTTATATATATATTTATATACCACCCACGCACCTTCTTTTCAGGGGCGAGTCTATGAAACACGTTTTCCATAATCAAATTTGGAATGACAAATGTGTGTGTAGTATGTGAGTAGTAGTGTAGCATTTGCTATATCTCCTTTATCGGCTTAAGTTTTTCAAATATCTACCCTTTGCCACTGGTATCTACACAGGATGTAACTATAAGGTCCGAGTTTATTTCAGCTAGTTATCGTATTCAGAATTACAAAGAATTTAGCAAAAAAAATAAGCTAAAATTTGCGAATTAAAAAATGTGCTCAGTCAACCGGTAAATTATGTAAGGTCCTTATTTATTATCTGACATACTTTTAAGGGCAATTTCCGTACATGAAACCAAACAACTTTTACTATAGAGACCGCTCTGAAACCGCTGTTGCATAGCAAATGTATGATATGTAACAAAAGGCCCGTACTCGGCCCAAATATATGAAATAGCTTTATTATTCTGCGCTACTAGAACTGGGGTTCTCAATGTTTGACTATGAAATATATTGTAATTAAATTTATTAAATGTCAGGATGTTTCACCGCCGTGATATTCAATTAGTTGTTTGTGAAATTACTACACTAGTTTGTCCGCTGGTTCGTTCCGTGGCATAGTTGGCATTACGTTTTTTAGTAGCAATAGAGCTCCTTGTGGAAGAGTTCGTCCAGGGTAAGACGGTACCTATTTCTGCCGCCAAGTAGTAATGTCAGCATGACTGTGTTCCGGTTTTGAATGGTAAGGGTGCTGGTGAAATTACAGGCACATGGGACTTGTCAACTTATGTCGCAGTGGCAGTGCCCCTAAGATCTTTGCGATTTAAAGCTCTGAGCGGCACTGCAACTGTTATGTACAGGTGTGTAGCTTACCGCCTGATGGCACGACTTGTTCGTCCCGTCACTAGATATTACAAAAAACGAGAAAATGTTGGTTCGAATCCAGTCGGTTGTGTTCTGTATTTTGTGTTCGATCTTTGTTAAAATAATTATGAAATATTATATAATTGTGTAATATTATATTATATAATATAATTGTCTGATATCTTCTTAAGGCTTTATACAGCCTTAACAAGATGTGAGCTAATAAATTAAGACGGAAATAAGTAAGTAGAATGATGTCTTCATCTGTGGCTATGTCTAATTTTGGCGTGTGTATTTATATGTTATGAACAGGGTAATACCTAAAATATCAATTACTGCCTTGTAAACAGCCCTACGAGTGAAAGTAGTCGTAATTAATGTATGAAAATAGCTGCAAGTTACGTGTTCGTCATTAATGTTATTACCTAATATATTAGCTATCTTATATACCTATATTATTTATCGAGATGGCCGTGGAACTCACACATACATTTAAAGTAAGAAATAGGCCATCTGTCAGTTGTACACGTTTGTGCCCTGTATTTTGTCATAATCTTAGAATATTATGCTTGTGTACAATACATTGCTTCCAAGTGATTAGAATTGTATGGAAGCCGGAGAATAATGACTATGTTAATAATCTCAAATTGAATACCAGAGCAACGGAGTTCACTCCAGGGACCCAGAACACCCAGATCAGTATCAATTTAGTATAGTTCATTTATCAAATTGGTCGCAACGGGAATCGAAACCGAAAATTTCCTTATCCAGAGCCTAAGTGCAATCCGTTGGGCAATTGAGGTCGTCATAATTAATATTATTGAGATGCTCTTTATCTTTAAGTTTTTTTACATTGTTTAAATTTTTGAAAATAACTTTTTTAACCGACTTCGAAAAAGAGAGAGGTTCTCAATTAGATTGTATTTTTTTATGTATGTTACACGATTACCCCGGCACTTGTGAACCCATTTTGAAGATTCTTTTTTGATGGAAATAGGGTGCCTCAATATTGGTCCCATTTAAATTTGAAGAAAATATTTCGCCTCTAAAGGTAGCAAGCTAGGAGATGAATCAGGTTTCGCACACTTTCCTTTGACCGATTTCAAGAAAACTTGGCAAACAGGTGGCTATTGGGGTCAGTTTTTTTAAAATATATATGTTATAATTATTAAGATTGAAGTAACGAAACAATTACATATATTGGATATTTGGATAAATATCGTATGATTTTTTTGTGATGCTAAGTAACATAACGAACAAGTCTTGCGCCTGGTAGTAAATGTGACGCCTACCCACAATAGATCCACTGCCACTCACAACTTCAAACCGCAAAGATCGAAGGGCGCTGCCACTGCGCTTATCACGCTGGGACACAAAGTTGAAAAGTCCCGTATATGGTATATTATGTAATCTCACCAGAACCCTTAGCCTTCCGAACCGGAACGCAGTAATGAGCACAATACTGCTTGACCTCACAAATAGGTATGGTGACCGTTGTTCAACACACACTTTCATTTTTATCTACTGCTACTGATAAAGTAATAATAACTGCCTCCGTGACTGAACGGTTACGATGCCAAACTGCCACGCAGAGGTCCCATGTTCGATTTCTGGGAAAGATCGATGTATTTTATTTGATTTTATTTAGGTTGTTACTTGATGAACTATTTTTACGACTATAATTAATTAATATTCTTTTGCTTTAAAAGTATTGAGGCCTACAACTTATTTCTTATCTAAACTATGAATGTATTATAAAAAAATGACAATTAGAACAAATTCATTTCGATTAAACAAAGAGGTAGGTATTCTTATTTAAGAATTTGTTATTGCCTGTCTTGCACTGTACGGCAACAGCGCGGGGCAGGCTGAGCAACCTCCCCGCGCCCTCTATTCGCGTCGCCTCGCCCCGCCGCCCCGCGCGCTCAGTACCCATTAGACTGTCACGAGAGGAAGTTACGTCGCGCGCAATTTCACTTACAACGGTAAGAATAGATATTTTCTTTTATGTTTAATTGTAATCACTTTGTTATATTGTATGTTGACATTTCCACATCGAGGTAACGTAATTGTGGTATCTGTTTATTAATCCTACGGCATTATATTTTCGCTGCTTCTCGTTAGACGCGGTCAGGCAACGTCGCTCGTTATTCATCGTTTCTTATCATGTTACATATAAACGTGTGCGTTCAAAATACATAAACAAAACTATTCCGCATATCGATTGCCGTATCGGTTAGCCATAAGGTTCAATTTTCAAATAACAATTTGTTTGTGCTATTAAAGGTGCATAGGTTTTAGTCCCTGTATGTCCAGTATAACGATTACTTTGATTACGATTATACTGGTTTATGTAATTAGAAGGTCGCTTGCCACTTTGCTTCACACTTTAAACCTGGATTCGGCCCTCCACCTGGGGTTGCTTCACTTCTAGGTCCTTTCCAATCATGCGCAGCTTAGTTAATGATAATCTCTTACTATATCCCGTCTGAATCACTTGTGCCATAAACCGATACCATTGATTGAACAACAGGTACTAGTTTACCCCAGTAGCATCACGACACAAAATATTGTGATACACCCGGTTCACTTTATAAGATTTTTAATTTCATGGTGATGATTTTTATGGTACTTGTATGGTGGACAGGGTTCACGAATGTCTAACAATGCGTGTCCCTAACTCATATTGAGCCAAGTTACTAGACTGTAGGCTTCATGTGCACAACGCTGGGACTTTTAAGGGCGTCCACTGCGTAGAATTAATCCCACAAGGTCCACTATTGCGTCGTGGTTCCGACGTGGGTATCGAGTTAAACTGGTTATACTTTGATTTGTTGAAGTAACCAATCTATCGTGAGATGATTTGCGCGAGCGCTTCACGCAGAGAACGTAAGTTGTGGTTGCACAACTACATACAATACAATTTGTATGCGAACTATACAAAGCTATAGGTAATTAACTAAATGTAAACAAACCCCAATGAGGTATTTTATGAGGCATTACCTTGTTACTTCTTGTAAATTATAATGAACTTATAAAAAATGATTCTAAATATATGATAATATTTTTAGATACTAGACAACATTTCGAAGTACCTTTTCCAATAGTACTAAATATATAATATAAACAGAATATTTAATTAAAGATATTTAATAATAATAACAAGTAACACACGTTTCCTACGATAAGCAACCTAAAATCCAGCCTTTAAAAAGATGACAGCTAATAACATGCGACCAAATTAAAGAATACAGCAGTAATACGACGTATGAAACTCACTACTAAATATTGTAATTTAACGGTTCACCAAGTGACAGTTGAAGTTTATTTACTTTTAGTCAATTATCTAAACCTTTATACTATGCAATTTATTAATTCTACAAATTTCAAATACCCTATATCTAAATGTGTGTTATCTCATTTACTAAAATCCTTAATGTTCAGCCACATATATGTTTAAATAGAACTGGCAAGGCGTGTAGAATCTGCGCAGCGAAGGTTCCGTGCTTTACGTGACACGCAAGGACTCTTACTTAAGATTTATATTCATTGAGAAAGTTTTTTGTGTCATCTCTTCTTTATAGAGTTTGGAACTGAAAATCTATATCATATGTCATTGCGTGTCTTGTGTCTCCCTTACAGTGTCATAACACGCTCTCAGTGCTCCTATTCGCAGTTGAGTCGAGTCCTATTCGCACTGGCCTCTTTTATTTACCTTTTATTATTCCGGAGCCTTAAAAATGCACTTGCTTTCGCTTTTCGAATTTTCCTAATATTTTCAATTAAAATGTTTACAGAGAAATAAAATTATAAATCGAATATATTTTTCTTTTTTTAATTCCTTAAAAACAATGAAAGAAAAATGTATTTAATTTTTTCGTTTCTTGCCGTCCTTTGTATAGGATGTACATATACAATTTTTTTTTTTTTCATAACTGGTAACCACAAGACGTTGGGTCTTTACCTACTACCGGGAAGCGCATACAACTGTGACGAAAGTTATAGATTCACCCTTATTATTCTTTTTATTCGGTACAGGACAAAATAGCGCACGTTGGGAGCCTATGTGCAGCAATGGACTGGAATAGGCTGATGATTATGATGACGATGATTTTTTTAATCCGCAAAATTGAGTACTAAGCTAGCGAGCATAGAGACTAAATTTTAGTCTTTAGTTTTAATACTAAATTTTAGTTTTGAATGATATCTCTTTGTTTCAAACGACCGCTCTTTTGTCCCATTGCTGATAAATAATAATATAATATCTGTAGGTACCACGGTCTTGTCATAAACATAAAGAAAAATAGGAGTTACGGTTCCGTACTTACGACCTTACACGTGACACACGATCAATAACTTTCGTAGCTTTTTTTTCTTAAATACTAATGTAAATGTATATTTAGAATCTCGTTTTAATGTTTTGAGTTAGAACTACATTTCCGTAACTTTTTTTCTAGCTTATTTTTTTATTTTTCTACATGACAAATAACAGATTTTGTTTTCTTCTTTTTTGTACACCCATAAAACAATCAAAAATAATTATGTTTTGCATATTACAATGGACAAATTCTACTTAGCTTTATTTACATTGTGTTCCTATTTGTAGTTAAACTTTGTGTATCTAGCTGCGGCAGTTAATTTTTGCCTCATCGCCACCCGCCGCTACCGGCATCTCTTCCTGGTGATGATTTGAAGATGCTTAACGCCTTGTCTGCTGTTGCAATTAATTTTAATTTGATATTTCTATAACCGTCGTATGAATTGAATTCAACTTTAATGTTATACAGGGAGTAGAGAAATGGTAGTGGGACCACGAGAAATAATTCTCCCTCGAGGTCCCACTAGTGGGACAAATTAATAGGACTACGAGAAAACGGTGAAATAAAAATTATAAATTATCGTTGTAGGGTTTGTAGTTGTTACAAGAACGTAGCCAGTTTTTGTGATTTACTTTTTGTACCATCAGTAAAGTTGAAGCCTTCGCGTCCCAAAACAGAATTGTTCGCAAGCAGAGATTGTAGCTAGCCCCTTGCCTTGTTTTAATGACCCTTTTTTTGTGAAAATCTTTTGTTTACGAGAAAAATATGTTATAACCCTTAAACGCCGTTGGTTGACAAAAACAAGCAAGCTGTAACGAACGACTATCGCGTTGCTAAACTTTGTGGCCTGCACACAAAATAACCCCTACGGTAGTAAGTGCAATAATGAGTCGATTTTCTTGTCATTGAATTTAGCATCTAAAAGCGCATCTTGTCGTGTCGATGCTAGAAAAAAGTTAAATAGAAAATTTCAATACCTGACCACCTTTAATTGGTTATGCATAACTCATCAGTACGGAGTACTAAAAAACCGACCTCAAAAGTCATTCATCCCCTAGTTTACAACCCTTGCGGTTTACAACTAAAGCGGTGGCATATTTTCTAGAAATGGGACCATTACCGAGGTACCCTCTTTCCAACAAAATCATGTAACCGAGTTATCACGTAATATACAAAAAAAATATAGTCGAATTGAGAACCTCCTCCTTTTTGAAGTCGGTTAAAAACTATAAAATTAAATTGCATAACACTGTTCTTTCCATTTATTGTTTTAGTGTATTTCTATGGTCTGGTAATTTAATTTTTTATTTAATTTTTTTTTTTTCAGATATTCGAATCTACATTCACGGGAGAATTACGCATAGAACTTATGATTATTATCAATTAACGTGCATTTTATGATACCCATAATGTGCACCAAAGTGTGCGCCATCTTAATCAATGATAGAGAATTATTGGACCTTGCAATAAATATTTGCAAAACTTTCCATTGGATTTCGCGATCAAGTTTTCAACGGTTACTATTTGACTATGCAATTTTGAATAATATATTTTTGCCTAATAAACATTATGAAAATCGGGCAGTGGATCCGGTTTGGACGAGAAAATATATTGACGTAAATAAAGAGTTAATCTCAACGAGTGTTACGAGCCGGGAATTACCGATGGCGTTAATGCATTACACCTTACCGAAAGAAGTTACGAGCTTTATGAATATGTTGTCTGATCTAGTCAACTTGGACCAGTACAACCCAGATGAAATTTACAATGTAGATGAAATTGGCATTTTTGTAGCTTGCGGTGATAATGAGGAGATAATGGCTAGCCTTGCACAAAAACTACATGACGAAGAACCGTTGTTGTCAGTCATTAACGCTGTTAATGCCAGGGGAAGTATCGTACCACCGTTCTTTGTGACAAAAAGAAAACACTTGTCCACAGTAATAGAAAATTGCGGCCCAGAAATGACAGTCTGTGTGACTGAATCTGATGACATAGACGAGGAAACATTTGCGAATTGGTTGCGTCATTTCAAAGATTTTGCGAAACCGTCTGCACAAAAACCGGTATTTTTAGTAATGGATAACAATTACTATCATGTGAGTTTAGATGCTTATAGGTATTGCCAGAAACACTTCATACGACTTTTAGTATTACCTCCTCATACTTGGGTTAGAATGTACCCATTGGAAGTATTATTTCACGATCCAATGAGATTAGCTTGTCAGCAGGATGCTGAAAATTATGTGAAGGAGAATATTTTTACTAACGCCAATATCGAAATTGCTAATATCGTACGCTTTTACACTAAAGCAAGTTATAACGTCAGATCGTCAGTTGTTAAAAATTGTGCTCAGGCATTTCAAACTGTAGGAATCTATCCTCCTGATGAAAATAAATTTGTTAAGGCGATCAAAAGTAATATATCAAAGGAGCTCCACTGGTCGCAAATTGGTGACGTTTGGTACATCAACTGCATTGTGCGTTTTAAACACACTGTAAATCCAGGTATGAAAAGATTGACAGTGGTTGGATTGAATCCGAAATTTGGAGACGTATCAAAATTGGAGTCAGATCGGCACTTGGGCCATATTAAAAGAGAATTAGACACTTCCATGGACAGTCAATCGACGCAGCATCGAGTAAATAAACAGATTTTTAAAAAGAACTCCATGCTACTGACTTGTGCGCAACAGAATCAGAAAATACTATCGAGTACGCTAAAATTAAAACAAATGGTCTCAGCATATACGCAAACTGATAAACCTCAATTGGAAAAGAAAATCTTACCGCCTATATCTATTAGCCCTGATCCTTTATGGAAATTGCATATATATACTGAAAATACCTCACGTTGTAGTAAAGAACGGTCTATTACAAACAAAAAGGGTATAAGCAAGTTCATAATGTACGAGGAAGATGTAGTTATAAAAACCGAAATTAAAGGCGAACATTCGGTGATTGACTGATATTACATATAAATATGGCCTATATAAAATTAATTATAAGTTGATAACCCTATATTAGAATTTTTACGCAAACAACGTTTTTTCGTAATAGACTCTTTATTTTCTCCTAATTAATTAATTAAAGTTATTTACCACACATTGTGAACATAGATTCGTCGGGTCGAGAACATTTGTCAATTAGTAAAAAAGGGATTAAAAAGTTAAATAAAAAAAATTATATTATACCTGATATCTATTTGATGTTACATAATATACAGTGTTTGCATAGTGGTGTTTTAATATATTGAACATACTTTATATTTTTAACTGTTTACTGTATCCTGTTTCTCTATTTATGATCTTCCAGAATATATCCCTCGTCCTGCAAATTTTTATAGTATTCTTTCTCCCCTTAAACTTATTTTTTCTCCTCTTCTCCGTATTCTATATAAATATATTGTACAAAATAACATATATCTGTAATATTTATTATTTACCCTGCATGTTTTTGAGGTTTTCATATAAAGTACTTAGTCAAGTCAAATTATTCCGTGTTTTGTGTTTGTCAGATGGATTGTGCAACCGACCATTGTTGTTTGAGTGCGTTTCTAGTATAATTTGTCACATACCGTGTATCTTTCAACCCGGACAAAGACAAAATTGTCTTCAGTGGGACAGAAGCCAAAAGCTACAAAAGAAAAACATACTTTTTTTAAGCTCTGCAGGACAGTTCTGAAGGTTTAAACATAACTAGTTATACGACTCATATACGCAATCTAAATAGCGAAAATAGAAAAACCTCTATGATCTGCATGAGAAAGTTTGTTGAACACGCAGTTCATACTAATAGCCTTACTACCTTAGAGAAACCTTTAACGTATTTGAACTAATCAACAGTAAGCTGCACCAAAAATCATAAACGTTATCCATTAACACCAGGATGTCTGGTCCTTCGAATTTTTGTGACTACAATAGAAAAATTCGATTCAATGATAAGAACTGGAATCCAAAAAATCTTCCTTGTCAATCTAGTTGGTTGCATCTTGTTGGTATTTTTAGAATTAAATATCAATTACTATCATTATAAAGACGTAATGTTTCTGACAGTAGCAATTCAATTTACATGCCTTATATATATTTAGAAGCTGTTGTTACGATCATTTCATACGAATCTTATTGGCTGCATCATTTCAAAGACATCGCGAAACAGTTCTCACAGAAATCAGTGTTTTCAGTGATGACAATACTTATGATTATAGACTAAAAGATGGATAGATTTTTTTTTAATAATAATAGGAAAAGTGTTTATAAATTAGTGTTAGTAGATATATATAATAAGAATATATATATTCAAATCACCTTCCTCATGAGCCATTGCTACATACGAGAGGTAATTCTACCAGCTACAATTTGTAGGATGCTGTTGGAGCTGTCCCGCGCTCCGCGCGTCAGGGATTTTGTTTGTAAAAGGAAATATTTGTACTAACATAGAAATACAGACGAATATTGTTTTTTTTAAACAACCGTATCACAAAGTTGATGTGTTCGCTATTAAAAAATTGTATTCAGGCGTTTCGTCACAAAGAGGTTTTTACATGAACTATATCTGGGAGAACCTGGCGCTTCCATATAGGCAACCGTATCTAATCTAATCTGACTAAGAAACCATTAGATATATTTATTGTTCTTAGAACAATTGCTGAGTTGAGCGAAGCTAAATCAAATTAAAAACAAGTTGAAATCAATGATTTATTGTTACCGCCGATATCCATCTGCCTTTTTACAGGAAAGACAATCATAAATAAAAATAAGCAAGTCGATATTGTACCAGGAAGACATACATACGTCGATTATGTGATCAATGATGCCTTCTGTGATCTGTGTCAAAATAAATAGACATTGTTGTTTTTGTCTATAACAAAATTTATAATTCATTCCCGGTTAATAAATTGCTGCTTCTATTTAAAAAAGTTGATTTCGTCAAACTTTAGAGGGGAAAACATCTATAACTCTGCTTCGTTCAAGTGTCAAGCGCTATTCGAAAAATCATAATATCAAATTTTCATATTACTTTTTTTCAAACGACTCTCGTTGATATTTGAGTTAATCCAGTTATATCGTAATATTTTGTAAAATGTTTGTAAAATTAATATAATAATAGAATTCTAAGTAAAGTTATTACTTTAATTAAATTTCAGATGCTCAAGAGATCCAGGAAACCAAAAAAGTCCAAATACTCAGAGGAGCTCTTGAAAACTGCCGTGGATCATGTTGTTAATAAAAAGTTCTTAACGAAGCATGTAGCCGATAGCTTCAACATTCCCAGACCTACGCTACAACGGCATGTGCAGCTTGCAAAACAGCAAGGTCTTCCTACTCTACGACCACCGGAAGCAGGCACATTACAGGAGATTGTCATGAATCTGTGTGTAACTTTTTATTGGATCACAGCTTCCAAATTGAAGCAACTAATGTTTGAATACGAGATAGTCAAATTGACTGACTTTCAAACATTTATTAAGTCGCACATTTGCTTTGCTCGTTTTATTTGTAACCAGTACTTTTACAACCGCACCTTACAAGGAGTCACTACGAATTACACATTGTCTGAAACGAAAGCATTTTTTGATGATTTTGGAGATGATATTACTAAACTTAAAATAGTACCGAGTAACATTTACGACATTGATGAAATTAGTATAGGCATAGTGAAAACCACGTCTAAATCAATAATTTGCGTAAACGGCAAAAATTACTATGTGGATGAAAACGCTCCTCAGCTAGTCGTTATAAACTCGGCAAATGCTGAAGGTCGATATGTGCCGCCATTTTTCGTCGCTAAAAAGAATGAAGTACGTAAATTCATCGAACACTTAGAACCTGGTATGGTCGCATGTGAAACGCCCTCAAACAGATTGACAGCAGAAATATTTGTCGAATGGCTACATCACTTTAAAGATTTCGCCAAACCGTCTGCGCATAAAGTTGTAGTGCTGATTCTGGACAATAGTATGTGGCATGTCAGTATATCTGCTTATCAGTATTGCCAGAAACATTTCATTAAGCTTCACGTCCTGCCTCCTCACACGGCAAAAAGAATGCATCCTTTAGAACAGTCACTCAACAAATTGTTAAGGAAAACTTGTCAAGAAGAGGCATCTCGTTATCTTCTTAATAATCCTGGAAAGAATATAACTGTGCGTGATTTAGTGCGGTTTTATATTACATCATTTAAAGGGGCAAATGAAGCGCACCGCTGCGCGAAAGGATTTGTCTCGTGTGGAATTTATCCACCAAACCCGATGCAATTTAGAATAACGTTTAATCAAGATACAAAACCATTGGACGAAAACAACCCTTCTCATGAAGGAAGGCTTTTAAATATACATGAAACTCGGACGGGTATTCTAAAGTTTGATTATGAACATTTTGGAAAGCGTGATAGAGGTTCTGCAGTTTTTGTAAAACCCGAGTTTATACAGTTTAGCTCTAGTTCTACTAAAAATGTCGCAACAACAATCAGTCAACTATTGCTTTCGACGACGCGTGGTTTACCAGTTTCTAATTTCATGAATCAGGCAGTTTCCACACCAGTTACTACCAAAAAATTAGTCCCCATAATAATCTCTAAATATATTAAAAATACCGAAAGTTCAAAACCAAAGGGCGCAGTTAATGTTACTCAAACGATTACTAGTGTCTCTGGAGTTAGCACGACATCGCCAGCCCATTTCGACGAACAAGCTTCAGCACACAATTTAGAACCATCGGGAAAGTTTCATGATTTGCAAATCAAAGTATTAAAGACAGCTGACAAAGCATATAGTAAATCTGATAGTCAACCTGAGGTAATATCGAAAACGAGGAAGACAAAATGTGGAGATTCGATTCAAATCAAGAGCTCTAAAAAAGTGCAAACAGATTTATTACAATTTAAAATAAGCGTTTTACCTTCAATATCGATATTTCCGGAAATAGAGGTTAATACGTCAGAATCTAAAGATATACCTAATGAATTAGTTAAAGTACTAAATATTAAAGAGGAACCAATGACGGAAGAAAATTTACACGAAGCAATAGACTTGCCAATAGATACAATAAAGACTGAAGAAGATAACCGAAAACCTTAATAGTTTCACGTGACGTTTAATGTTAGTTAATGGTTTTTTGTTATTGTCAGTTGTAACGAAAGATAAGTTTAAATAAATGACTTGACGTATTCGTTCGTCCTTATTTCATTTAAGAAGTGTTTTGTCTATTTAATTAAGAATATAATTTAAAATTTCTTGATTACTTTGAAAAGAGAGAAGGTAAATAATTAAGAATACATACTTGTTTGCTACACTTTTTCTTATCATATCCTATAATAAGACAGCCGTTTACAAATTGTCCTGCGACTACCGACTGCGAATCAACCTTGAAGCCAGCTGCGCGTGCGCGCCGACAGATGTCCTCTTTACGGGTTATTACGTGTCAAAGAGGTTAAGTAAAATGTCAGTTTACTACGTTTTAAAATCTGCCGATGTACATACTTGTACTGTACTTACTATTCTTTTTGTTGTAAATTGAACCACTTTTGGTGATAAAGCTTTCGTTGAGTGTAATTTAATTATCAGTAATTTCTACTTAAGTATTTCATTTAAATTTAGTTTAGAAATACTTTTTAATTTCGTCATTTGATGTCATTCCGCATTCCGAAATAAACTACCTTGCTTTTGCTTGTTTATTTTTAAGTATATTGGCGTATAATAATTATCGTATAAGGAACGTCATTGGATTTGCGGAAATAGACGGTTCACCTTGCGTGAATTTTTGTCTATGGTTATAAATGTTTTAGGTTTTCATTATCTGAAATAGAGCTATTTGACAAGCCAGTATCAGATGCCACCATCACCGTTATTTGTCGTCATTAATGTTGTACAATGAAGTACTAAACTTTTTAAACGAGTTTTACCTTCTGTTATCAGGGGGTCTACCCTCGTTCTCCGTCCGAAACCTAGCCGAAACAATTACTGTCAAATTAAAAGACGCACGATGCGACCGAAGCTTCATACTTGACTTGTGTTTTGAGTTGGTCGATTACTTTTTTGACAGTAATTGTGTCGTGTCCGCGGCGCATTCGCCAGATCTGACTTCTCGACTTGAATAGAAATGTCAGAATCGAAGTATTGAAATAATATTTAGAAATAATTTTGTTGATGAGTCCGTATCACGTAATGATGCTCGGAGATCCTAGATAACTTGATTATTATCCGATTAAGTAGCACCAAGAAACCTTTCATAACAACAATGTAAGTTATCAATCATGTTTATGAGACGTCTGTCCGTCATCTTCGTCTGTTTTTATTTCACAAATGCAATCCGTCAAATTAGGGTTCATCTAATTCCAACTTTTTTAACAAGATCTTTTTTAAGTAGTTGTACCATTACATAGCCTGCTCGAGGATTATCCATAGTAGCTATAGTACTGGCACTCTTGCTAGTGAAGTTAGTCAAGTGAAAATGACAAATGCTTAGGGTTTTGCTTTTGTTAGCCATTTCTAGATTTTTTTTTCAAATTACCTCTGAGTATAAGTACAAATACCTGTTACAAGTAAACTTTTAATTCTTTTTAACTTTATCCTTTTCGCATAAACTCTTACAAAATCCATTCATTGTTGAATTCACTAGCGCTTTGTTACAACCCTGCCAGTCCTGTGACGTCACATCAGTTAACAGGTGTCAGTTGACGGCTGACGTCAAACGTCACGCGCGTACCGCAAGGCCAAGGTTGTATAGAGATTGATATCTAGAGTTCAAATCCAATATTTTGTACACGTGATATGCAATAGTCCTTTTATTATTAGGCGTAATAAAATTTTAATAATAGTTTTTGATAATTTACAATTTTTCTGAATATCTTTCAATCTTAAGTGAGGTTAACGGGAGTATAGCTGCCGTGATAGGTATACATTTGCCCAATTTTAACAAATTTAGTTTTATCCGATTAACTGTTGTTATTATTTTGATAGATAGATGTTGTTATAATAGCGCTAGCCTTGGCGTACTCCTATTGCTAATTTAGCTACCAGATTCAATCAGTTACTAGGTACTTGATTTTCTCCTATCTTGAATTTTCTCACGTGTACCATTCGTTACTACTTATTCTTGAAAGCTAATTATTCAAATTACCTCACAATATGACTTCATAGTTCAAGCTTACTTACGTTGAGTACAGAACCAATGACATCACTGCAAGAGCTGAATAGTTCGCACGGCTGCCAGCAGTTTAAGGATGGTGAGGGGTGTGGAGGGGGGGTGCGCGTGACACGTTGCGCAAACAAGGATGTTGCCACAGGTGCGGCTTACGCAACGGACACTCGCACACAGAAAGATGATGACGTAGAACTCTTGGCATATTCTGCAACTGAAGATTTACAGAACGAGCTTAATCTAAACTCTATTTTATTAACACGAAATAATTTGACAGACAAATAATGCAAAGGTGGTTCATTGATAGAGCAATGACAAAACGTGAAATCTTTCATTCTAGCTGGCTAGCGGAGACGTAGCAAACATTTTTATAGAAATAAGATATATTTCAGTTGCAGTAGAGCTCCTTGCGAAGGAGTTCGTCTAGGGATGAACGGACAAACAAGTCGTGCGCCTTGGTAAGCGAAACGCCTGCCCGTAACAGTTGCAGGTCAGAGCTTTAAATCACAAAGATCTGAGAGGTACTGTCACTGCGCCCGACATCCTAAGACATAAGTTCATGCGTCCCATGTGCCTGTAATTTCACCAGCTCCCTTGCCCTTCGTAACTGGAACGCAGTAATGCTCACACTACTCTTTGGCGGCAGAAATAGTTAAGGTGGCAGTACTTACCTGGACGAACTCTTTCACAAGGAGCTCTACTGCTACTAAAAAGTTCTAGTTCAAGAAGTAATAATACGGCAATGACACGAAAAAAATATTAGCGTTTTAATTTGGTAGGTTTAAGTCTATGGACATCACTAATGACAGATCTTGTTCCAATTACCTATGTAGTTTTTTATTGCAAATCATGACGTATTTTTGCTGGTTGGTCTTAGAAGCTAGCAATATGTATAATTAATTATCTGAAGATCGGGATTTCGCGGTTCACTTTCATTATATGAATTTATGTTTCCTTTAAACAGTTGACGATAATAACTTTGGACTCTTCAGTTATTAATGCACAAAATTCTTTGGAGTCTTTCCAGCTATTTTTGAAAGTGAAGCTATTAATGTCTCTATCGTTCAAAATTTGTTAATACAAAATTTAATTTATAGCAATACAGTTCTCATCGACTGTACCTAGACAAGTGTGAATTTTATTATTGCATTTATATAATACATAACATAATGAATCATTTTCGGAATATCAGTCCGTTGAACTGCTTTTCATTAAGTTAAGCATTCGTACTCCATTATTAAATCAGAGGTCCCCAAACTTTTTTGTTTCGTAGACTACTTGTCAATCTTTTCTGTTGGGCTTTTCTAATATCGAATATTACAAATGTATCAACTTAACATGTCTTTTTGACAGCTGACACATAGTCACTTTCATAAGATTGACGGTAAAGTGAAAAACTTTATGTTAAATTACATAGGTTAATTTTTCCATTTTCCATTTATGGAAAACCAAAATATTATTCTCGGCCTGCCTAAATAGGATCCACTTTCGTAGACCGTCACTTACATTTCATGCAACCCCAATTTATTATTTCGTTGATATGGACTCCTTGTCGTTTAGAGTCCGCTGGGGATCGGTATATACCACTTTGGGTACCATAGTATTAAATGAACAAACGTAGCTATTGTCCACCTAGCTCTTGTATGTTATTGCTTCTTATTGAGTTTTTGTATTGCTAACCTGTTGTTCAGACGAAAATTTACTAGGTCTATTTGACAAGCAATCCTTTCCTTTACTTTGTGATTTGAGTGTTGTGTTGTTTTTGAGTATTTTATAAGCTTAATTATAGTTTTTGATTGAGTGTGCGTGTTTATACATTTTTAGTGCGGTCTTAAGCACGCATCAGCACGCCTATTACTTCAGTCCTCTGTAGCTGAGTCACAGATCCATTGCACATGTTTGTTTTATTATTCATATAAATGTCAAATAAAATAATTTCATTTTTATATTGATAACCTTCCATTAGAAACAATTTTGTTAAGTACTATTACATGATGACCTATCACTCCTTACCATTACTCTGACTACATCATGACTGTTTTTCGAATAAGAAGGTATTCGATATATACGCAGCCCGTTACATTTTAGAAAATATGTTCAAATGTAGTAAATTGTAACGGTCACTTCAAATATTTTTGTATTTAACATAATTGTTTATCAGATTATTTTTAAACTGAAATTGTAAATGTTTTGTGTTTCTGCGTGCTCGTGCACATCTCATACTTTGTTTCTGTTTTTAAATAAAAAAAAGAAGTAATAAACCGTAAATACATTTTCTTTGATCTTGCTCACTTTTAGTTAGCATCCGAACCCCATTATTACAGTCCGCTACAACTATGTAGCTACAAAAAATCGTAAAGTACAGTAGTAAATAATAATAATAGTAAATATTCGCTTAAAGCGATAAGACCGCCCATTGTCCCACAGCTTATTTTTTATTTAAAGGTATTGTATTTCTTTTCGATTTGGTTACAATAACAATTTTTTGTATTTGTAAATACACTAAAAGTAAAAGTTGTAAAATGTATTGTTACTCTTATTCTTACAGTTTTAGAAAGCATGAAATGTCCACATTTCTCAAAAGAAGTGCAGTAAAAATTACTGTATCAGAACCACTTATAATTCTCGACCCTTTGAAAATTCAAAAGATGCACATTGGTGCACAGTTTAACATTCCGTTATTTATTGCTTATTTTATTGCAACTTGAAAGTTCTACTTTCGATTGTTTTTCAAAAAGGGAGTTCCGTTTCCGTGTATTTTGTTTCGAGCATGAAATGGAAAGTACCAGAAAGATAAAGAGGATTTACCGCCATTTGCGCTTTTGTCAAAGTAAAAATTTATTACCTTGTCGCTGTTAACCGTTAAAAGATAAAAGATGTAAAAATAATAGGAGTAGATATGAAAAAATTAGATACATGCTATTTTTAATCTGTCTGTGTTAATATACATGTGATATCCAAACTAATATTATAAATCCGAAAGTGACTCTGTCGTTACGTTTTCACGCCTAAACCGCTGAACCAATTTTGATGAATTTTGGTATAGAGGTAGATTTAGATTTGGTATGAGTAGAGCTAGCACGTTAAGGCGCGACTTGCGCGAGAGCGATATAAAGCGCGAGATCTTTGTGCGAGAATAGCATTATCTCGAGCTTTATGTCGCACTCACGCTAGTTGCGCTCGTCGTGCTAGCCCTACAGGATAAAAACATAGGCTACTTTTTGTTACAAAAATAATTCTTAAAGGGGGTGAAATTGGGGATGAAAGGTTACATGGAAAACCAATACAACTATGAAAATTAGTACAGTAAGGCTTGGTACTTGGTGTAACAGGCTTGTGTCCGCACTCGACGTCAAGGCGCCTATTTTGCAGTAAGGCTATTCGAACTACTTCTTCCTATTATATGATTGCCTCGGTGGCCAAACGGTTACCATGCCGGACTGCCACGCAGAGGTCCCGGGTTCGATTCACGGACCGGGAGAAATATTTGTATGGCCTACATTTATTTCTCTCGTGAGTTTAGGTGTAATTTGTGGTTGTCTATCTGTGTGTCCATGTTTGTCCATGGCACTTTTTTGTTTACAAGTAATGTTACCGTTTTCACGATGCGTAACACAAATACAGTGCTGCTAAAAATTAGGGCCTCGATATTTGAACCGTAGCGATGTGTTTATATTGAAACCTTGGCACTGGACAAGGCCGTGACGTGGAACGTACGCGCAGGAAACTGGACCGTTTTATGTTCCAGATGGATAGCCTGCTGTCGAGAATGAAAATTTAATACGGAATATTATTATTAGAAGCAATACATCACTTTCTAAATAATATCGCAATAAAGATAATAACTCCAACTTCAAATACGCACATCGATTTCTTAGGTTTTTAGTAGCAATAGAGCTCCTTGTGGAAGAATTCGTCCATCGACGTATTGCCACCTTGCCTATTTCTGCCGCTAAGCAGTAATGTGAGCATTACTGCTTTACGGTTTTGATGGGTAAGGGTGCCGGTAAAATTACAAGCACATGGGACTTGTCAACTTATGTCTCAGGGTAACGGACGCTGTGGCAGTGCCTCAGATCTTCGCTCTTTTAAGCTCTGAGCGGCACTACAACTATTATGGACAGGCGCGGCGCTTACCACCAGTCGTACGACTTGTTCCTTCCGTCACTTGATACATCTTTCTATTATATTATATTTAAAAAAGGTTGTAGCTATTGTTACACATAGGAATAGAATCTATTTTTTCGGATCCAAATCGCTATAATTGTTTTTTTCAAACAAACCAAACGTTTCGGATCCTTAACAGATCCCATGACCACGGCTGACTATTGACATTTAGCTGTACAAAAAATAGCTTTATTTCCCATTCTATAATGCACTATTATGCTATATTCTCGTGTGACTAAATCTGCCCTCCTTGTTATAACTAGTGCATTTGTATTTTGGTAAAAAATTTTTGTTTATTTGTAAAATGTCAATTACGCTGAATTTGCTTAACAATAAAACTGAAACTAAATGAGATATAAAAACAACAGCTTTTAGGGGAGTGTAGAACTAGTTTAGCTGATTCCAGATTTGTTAACAACTTAATTTCGCTAAAAATGTTGATTACGCTGGTTATTATAAAGAGGGCAGAAACGTTCAGTGAGACTACCATGACTTTTGCGATCTTGTGAAATATTTGTATACAAAGTGTTACTACATTTGACCGCTAGGGGCGCTATACAATTTGCTATACAAACCTGGAAAGCATTTTACACGTTCGCTAGCGACAACCACCATGCCTCCATCCTGTAAACATGAGTTTACAGTGACATGGTGGAGGCACATATCCATGCTTTAAATGAACACCTCTGGGAATACAATCTATCAAAATAGAAACATGCATACTTGATAAATAAGGCTCCGTACAGATAAAGGATTAACTTAATACTGAGTGTAATATATTGAGTACAGAGTACTAAAAAAACCGATCTCAAAAGTCATTCATCCCCTAGTTTGCCACTCTTAGAGGTGGAATACTTTCTTTAAATTTAAATGAGACCACATGTGAGGTACCCTCTTTCCAA